GAAGAAGCTCCTGCACCACTCTTCCTGGGTTTAAACAACAGGGAGAGAGTGTTGTCAGCATAGTCTTTGCTCATGTTTGGCTGGAAGAAAACTTATGATGTTACCTGTACTGGAATCATCCAGCATTGGTAAAACATTAAAATCATGTTTTAATCATGATTTGATTGGGTTAATGTCCACAACAGGGAACAGCCTTTGGAAAAATTACAACTGGTGACATGGATCTCACAAGGGATCAGTTCCACCATTGCAAGCTAACACCTCTCTGGAATTCACTCTACCAAATCTACTAGACTCATTTCAGATAATGATCTATATCAGCCTTTCTCAACCTTGGCAGCTTTAAGAGGGGTGGACTTCAACTCCCAGTATTCCCCAGCCAGCATTGCTTTAAGGTGATGGATTCAACTCCCAGAATTCCAGCATGCTGACTAGGGAATTCTGGGAGATTAAGTCCAGACATCTTAAAGCCTGTTGTTTGGGGAATTCTGGGAGTTGAATCCATCACCTTAAAGCAATGCTGGCTGGGGAATACTGGGAGTTGAAGTCCACCCCTCTTAAAGCTGCCAAGGTTGAGAAAGGCTGATATAGATCATTATCTGAAATGAGTCTAGTAGATTTGGTAACCTGTAGAGTGAATTCCAGAGAGGTGTTAGCTTGCAATGGTGGAACTGATCCCTTGTGAGATCCATGTCACCAGTTGTAATTTTTTCAGAGGCTGTTCCCTGTTGTGGACATTAACCCAATCAAATCATGATTAAAACATGATTTTAATGTTTTACCAATGCTGGATGATTCCAGTACAGGTAACATCATAAGTTTTCTTCCAGCCAAACATGAGCAAAGACTATGCTGACCACACTCTTTCCCTGTTGTTTAAACCCAGGAAGAGTGGTACAGGAGCTTCTTCAAGGGAAGCATGATCTTGTCCAGAATAACTATCAGGACCAATATACAGCAGTTCAGTCTTGCAGCAAATTTGTGCTTTTTGTGCCCCATTAAGATACCAATCCAAGCTTTTCTTTCCCATATCCTTGGCTTGCCCCAGACTGGTAATGCATAACTGGCTGCATCTCATCCCAAAACAGTAGCTGACCTCCAGCTTTATGCAGATGTTAAATAGTGTGAGGGAAAGCACTGAGCCCTGAAGTCCTTCTCACTGAAGTAACCAAGGCCTCACATACTGTTCCTCTATAACTACAAGTTAAAACCACTCTGGTAGGAGAGGAATTATTGCAAAACAGTGCAGATCCTAGCCCTAGAAGCTGAATCAACAAGATACATGGTAAATGGTACTGAAAGCTGCTGAGATGTCTGACTAGAATCAGGCAATTGCATTCCTCCATCCATGTCCCAATCCATGCTGTTTCCATCCCATAATCAGCTCTGAATCCTGAATAGCAGGGTCCCAGATAATCTGCTTCCGCTGGGACTCTGATTTCTAACAGATTGTGTGAGAATACAGAATCCAATTTCTCACGCATTCCCGATATAGCCAAGAAACTGGTTCACTGAGAACAAGGTAGCACTTTTTCAAATTAATGATCAAACTAGATGCAATTGGCTTCTCATAAGTCAATAAAGAGGATGGGTGTTTGCAAGATCATGAAAACTCATAGCTACCTCCATAATGCAAAAAAAAAAAGAATGGTTACCAAGAGAATGTTTCAGCAGAATAAATTTCAAGCTAAAGTGGGTGCCAAGCAAAGCATACCAATTTACCAAGTTTTCTGTAGCCTAGTTCTCTTTTCACTTTCAGTTAATCTGGTTAAAGAAGACACTGTGATCATCTTGCTTTTTTGGTTGTAAACAGTTGCCAAAGACTTGACTCTGGTCATCTAGAATTGGTTATGGCAATTCTGAGGTGGGACAGACCTTTCTTCTAGCTCAAATTGCAGTCGGGTGGTTGAGGTAGGCATTACAAAACTTTCCTTGGCCTGAGAGAAAATAATCCATCAAACTCCAGAAGATTGCAAAGAAGCATGAAATCCAAATAGCATCCACATAAAATAGAATAGTCCCTGTGGGACACTGGAGGCATTCTTTTTCCTTGAAGTTATTTCCAAAGGGATCTGCCAATAGCCGTACATTAGATTCAGAGTTGACATGTACCCATCTCTCCTAGTTATCCAATGAGTGAGTCATCAATTCTTGGCACTAGGAAAACTGATTCAAATTTAGATCAACACAAAACATAGCCTCCCTTCTAGTCTTGGTCACAAGTACAACAGGCAAACATAATTTACTCTGGGGTGGTCCAGTCATGCTTAGACTGAACCTTCTTTAAAGTATCCTTTAAGGTATCCAGACAGAATATCTGGATAGGAAAATCTGGATAGAGATATTCTAAATGGAAACAAGGACATACATGCTCCATCAGGTTCGCCTTCCTTTGTGCCTTTGGCCACAATGCCAGAAAATCCCGTTGCCTCTGAAGAAAGCATCTTTGGGACAACCATAACCTGGATGACTGAGAATCTCCCTAGACATCATGTATAAGGTAAATGTAAAGGTTTCCCTCACACATATGTGCTAGTCGTTCCTGACTCTAGGGGGTGGTTCTCATCTTCGTTTCAAAGCTAAAGAGCCAGTGATGTCCAAAGACATCTCTGTGGTCATGTGGCTGGCATGACTAAATGCCAAAGATGCGTGAAATGCTGTTACCTTTCCACCAAAGGTGGTTCCTATTTTTCTACTTGCAATGCTACATGCTTTCCACCTGCTAGGTTGGCAAAAGCCTGGGATAAGTAACAGGAGCTCACTCCGTTATGTGGCGTTAGGGATTTGAACCATCAAACTGCTGACCTTTCTGATCAACAAGCTCAGCATCTTAGCCACTGAGCCACCGTATCACATCATGCACACAGGTTACTTATTCCTGCTGCTTCTGCCTAAAGGATTGTTGTGAAGCTAAGTTATTTTCTGAAAT